GGTCAGTATTACTATAGAGATAAGAGATCTATGTGGTAACCAATTATACTGTAATGTAAAACAGTGTTCAAGAACTTGTATGACCTGATTAAATTCATTGCAAATATGGCATTTTGCTTTTGCAACAAATTTCCACTACAGCCAGATTTGATGATTAATTACACTCCCTGAATGACCAGGCTTCGAATCTCAAAATGGACATGAGTTCCTTCAAGACTGGTGATACACCTTTCTGACAAATGTAAACTAGCACGAAACCCAAGTACAAGGCTTCCTGCAAACTGCCTTTAACCAGCTAACATCATGTAAATACCATGAGACCAATACTTCATTCGGCTGTCTTCCCAGATCCATAGATTGATTTACTTGCTGGTCAAAGGACCAGTAATTAGCAGGATATTCAACACCCACCACCATCTGTAGTCTAGCATGTCCTGTCTGACTGTTCGACACTAAACATATATGCATTGCAGTATATCATTCGATTTCTAGTGATCCCAGCGTACCGCTAAACAAGTAACTTAAATTTACAGCTATTGCTGATCTGACCGAAAACATTTTGTTCATCAAACTGCCTTTTGTTTTGTTCAAGATTAGATTTAAATTTAACAAAATATTGAATGATAAGAATCAGTATTAGTTTACAGCTGACTGAGCAGGTTCTCATTTTACATAATTAACTTTCTTTAGATGACAGTAATAGTATCTTGTGACTGTTAAAGAAATATATGTGTTAGACGAAAATGTCACGATTACAAAAACAATATTAAGTGTTAAATGTCTTACAAAATTTGGAAAACTGTACTCATTTTGTCATCAGATGGGACGGATAACTAATGAGTGTCTGTGTGTCGTGTCAAGAAGAAATGAGAAAAAAGTCATCATTATACATCACTTCAACAGCGCAAATGTTGTCAGGGAAAACGTGGTGAGTTCAGCAACAATAATCAGAAAAATCACTAATGAATATATTTCAATTTGTAGGATTCCATTTAACTCCGAAAAAGCCGACATGACTAACACAATCAGCGGTAACGTTTCATTAGTCAGAAAGTTATGCATAATTTACTGTTTTTTAAAGTTTCGTTTTTACAGAAAAGTATTTTAATTGTTACTTCAAGCCATTTTACCCAGCCTACTGATATTATTTTCAGCCTATTCTAATTTTTCTGCTCATCAAATACATTCCGATTCACACACAATTTTGATTCCATTTTTGCACATTCTCTTTTATTCATAACTTTAGTGAGTAACTACAAAAAGTGTTTTGTTGTTCTGTAAATAAGTTTGGCAGTAAATAACAACACTTGAAACTTCTTAAATTTGTCTGTCCTATAAATTAAGCTTCACTATCACCATAATGATTGTTCAGTTTGTACTGTTGTATTATTGTTTTAAACACAGACAATTAGTGCTTCAAACTCAAGTATTTTCAAATACCAAACTTTCTACGATATTACATCTAACCTCAGTATGAACTTTGTTTAGTCTATTCCCTATTTGTTTCATTTACTCCCCATCATTAGCTACTTTTACATTCTTCGGAACAATTAGTGGCTTGTAACAGTCTTAATTTAAAGCTGTAATTTTATTGAAAATTACATGAATTACACAAAATCATCATTGGGAGTTAACAGGAACTACTATATTCCTGAACTTTGAAGGAATCATTTATTCACACTAGAAAACAGGAAGATTTTATCAAAATCAGGAATAGTATTTTCGGGGTAAACAGTTTCCTACAAGACAGACATACAATTAACTTTAGAAAACTAGGGTGAATATGACAATTATTTAAAGTATCACCACAGTTCACTTTAAGAATAAGCAATGGAATAGGGAAAAATATTCTGACCTTTAGTGCGAAATATCTCTTAACAATAAGATATTTACTGATAATAAACTGATAAAATAGCCATTATCGTTTCAAGTAAATTTAGGTGGAATAGGCATCATAAATTTCAAAACTATGTGTTTTTAGTCCTTGTGTTCCAGGTATAGCATAGAACTTCAAACTTTGAAGTTGTTGTTTCTTACGAGATGAGGTTGTTAGCTTCAAACCCAACCCTGCCTCTTTTCTGCTTTTACAACTGGCTAGTAAACTAGGCGGTTTTGAAGAGCGTCGCATGGCTGTCGAGGATTCGAGCATCAGATCACCGACCCTTGGACCAAAACCGTAGATGTTACAAATTTTCTGGAACAACTTGAGCGCTTAGTTTGGCTAAATCATCATAAAACTATTTGAAATAACCGTAGGGTGTTTAGCAGTTTCCGTGAATGGAGATAGGGACTCAGTAGATTATTCTGAATAATTTCCTAATGAGATATATACTGTTGCCCTACGTTTTTCTTATGATAAACTGGAGAATTATCTAACTAAATGTAAAACTAGGTGGTGTGATGGGGCTTAACTTTAAAATACTAAACATTAGCTCATACAAAAGTATCCTGATAATCTCTTAACTAATTAAAAGATTAATTATTTAAAACAACACATAATGAACCAATGATGATTATAATTCAAGAGACGAAAGATATACTTCTTATTTTCCTGAAATACAATGGTATTATTTTTGATGTATTTTTTAACTATTAACTGAATAAATCAACTGATAAGTAAGATATAATTATAACCAGTTATTACTAATTATTGCAGTCAGGAACACTATTTGATAGGCGAAACGCATGAATCATTCAAGCTAAGGACGAATGCATACTGTAATGCAAACGGCGAAAGTGGCTTAACGTAGTGTGGTGATAATTTTTATTTTGCAAGTAATCGTATAACAACTGCGACAGTAATTTTATGGTAATTGTACACACGTGAAGTGCTATTAAAAATTTCCTCATTTATTTTACATTAGTTAATCGACTTTTTGGGAAGGTGGTAAGTGCTGATGTAATATAGTATTTATCAAAATGACAGTAAGAATAGTGGCCAGAACAAAAGATGCCAAATGTGAGCATTTTACTTTTCCAAACATTAAAAAAACGTATTACTTAATACCAAATAGTTATACTTTCTTAGGAGGGTGACTTATATGTTAATAGACCACCTAATAAACCATACATACTTATTCTTTGCAGCCATCAGAAAATTCTATGCAAACTAAAGGCAACTTTCATATTCCTTTAAACAGATTGATAAAAGTGTATCGCAAGTTGCGGATCAAACTGCATTAATGACAACTTTCAGTTGGATAAACTTGAAACCAGGAAGACAATAATAATATACCAGCAAAAATAAAATATTGTAGGAGAATAAAACGAGTTTCCGCTTGCTTATTATTTGGGTAACTGAAATATTATGAAACTCAAATCAGATTACCAATTTCATTAGTTACTGTATACGTGAACAAATTATAACCTTTTCTAAATTAAATTATTGCCTTAAAACAAGTAATAACTTATTTGAATAAATATTGTAATCATAAATATTTATCGCAAAATATGAAACATGGCTACTTTTGGAAACATGACTCAGTAAAATATCTACAGAGGCGTCATACAAAAATTAAAGGATTTTATGAAGCAAAGCTCAATGGGTAATCTCTACGAAGATGATAATTTGAGTGTGAAGTAAATTTAGGAGTCATCCTATTAAGGGGGAAGACATCATTATGTTGACAGTTATAATTAAATAATTCTTCCTAAACTTCTAAACTATCTTCTTTAACCTATATTGAAGAAAGTTTTGTCTGAACCAGGTCACATTTTGCTTATCATTTGCTACTGTTTATGAATAATATTCATTTCTTCTCACTGAAGTATATTTTTCCAACTAATGCAACAAGTAAAATCCGGCTGAAAAAAGTTAATTCGCAACCTTCGAAATGATGTCAGTAATTTCAAGACATCTTTCTGATGTGATATGAAGAGAATACTACAAGGAATTTAGAAATAATAACTAAAATAGGTGCATTGATAGCTAGCAACTGCGTCGAAATAGATATGCTAATAGAAAAGTTAACATAATTCAGCTAAAACATTCTGTCGAATGAAAATATTTGTTATACACATGACAATACTAAGTTTATCGTCATATCCATCTGTAATTTTACATATTTAAAAGTTCTCTTTTGTGCATCGGTGGCATAGTGGTTAGGACTCTCGCCAACCATCCACATGGTCCGGGGTTCGATCCCCTGCCGACGTACACCTGATATCTAAGGTTGGCCTACAAAATTTGGGCTACCAATATCCATGCTGAAAATTCCATACTTGTTCCAAAAATACTGTGTGGAATCAAGCTATAATCAAAAAGAAATAAAATAAAAAGTTGTAGTCAACGACTCGTAGTTAGATAACGTTCAACTTGAAACTCACTAAGCGTGTATGAATCTTCTCCAAATATCAGCAAAATGTTGCTTATCTTCTTGAATGGTCATCCCCATCGTACGTAATTCCTCCAGGAAAGGAATGCCTGTATCGTGATGACGGAAATTTAGGATGAGGAAACATGTATCTTTCATCTTCTGGATACATCATTTCATAAGGTTGATTGTACATTCTTTTCCAGTAGACCATTCTTTTCTCAGCGGAACCAGTGTTTGAGTCCTTAAGTCCATCCACCCTCAATATGCTGAGAAGAAATAAGATGGACAGAACATTCAACATCATCATGAAAGCTACCGATACGTAGGTAGTAATGTGTCAGGTAGGTTTGATGCACTCTATATATGAATGAGGCAGGACTGAAGCAGAGTTGTGATTGGATGCTATAAAAGAATAAATGTGGGAGTTATCACTAATAGCACCAAAGTCTGAGATGTGAATTTCAACTTTCTGTCAAACTACAGATAACAATAAGCCAATAATATACAAGACGTAAAAACACTGGAAAATTGAACATGGTGATAAACCTGAATTGTTTCGTGAAATTTAAATTAATGAGTGTACAAACTGAATAATATATATTAAGTGTCTATTTATGTTGTTATCTTTAGACTTTAACTGTATATTGAAACCGCGGAATATTCCACTAGTGCGCTACAACAGCAATGAGGAAAAAGGTGAGTCTATATTGACATCTTGTTTACGTAATAGGTTCTGTTAATGGGCAAATCTGGTTCGGGCAAAACAAGTATGCGAAGCATCATATTTGCAAACTTTATTGCTCGTGATACCCGCAGACTAGGCCCCACAAGTATATAAGTTTTGTTAATTAATATGTCTTACTAGTGGACGTGGAACATACACATTTACGACTTCTTGGGGGTCTGGTTTTAAACTTATGGGACTGTGGAGGGTAAGACTTGCACTAAATTGTATGTGGTTTCTCGTAGACAAGACGGGTTTATGGAAAGCTATTTTGTTAACCAAAGGGAAACTATATTCAGAAACGTTGAGGTTCTGATCTATGTTTTCGACATTGAGAGCCGAGAAATTTCGAAAGATCTGGCTTATTACCGTTCTTGTCTGGATGCAGTCAATCAGAACTCTCCTGGTGCCAAAATATTTTGTCTCATTCATAAGACTGACTTAGTCAGTGAAGAAAAAAGAGATGAGGTATGTTCAGTTTTACCCTTTCTTCATGCTTGGTAAACTTATTTTTACTTAAATTCGATCGGTTTTAAGTGACTGTATTACTTTGTGTTCTGTCAATTTGCAGTTTTCCTGAAACCTATAATTTTCTTACCCATATGGAATCCTATGTGATATGTTGTTTAAGATTTGGTTATTTTATTATTCCTTTCTGTAAGCCTACATTTAAAACTACGTTGAGTTATAGTCTGGATTACTATTGTAAGATCAATCAAAGTGGTTTTCTCCCTTATTGGATGAGTTCATTGCATTTCTGACATTAATTAGATGATTGTGAATAGTAGTTGCACGGCTGTCTAACTTGCTTTCTATAATTTCATTTGTTCATGTCATTCCCTAGGGGCTTTTCCCATCTACCCGAAGGATCAGGCGTTTCGTAATATCTCATTACCTTGGCTCATTAGTCCAAGCCCTCAACTTCCAACCATTGGGTTACGGATACACAAGGCTCATTCCCAGCTGCATCGATTTGCAAGTTGAGTATCATTTTTTCACAACTGATTCATCAGTTACGTGTGGAGTTACACAACTTCATTGTCCCATCTACCCTTACGGCAGTAATATTTCTTTTCATTACCTGCCTAACATTCATCTTGAAACATCATAAGATGAAGTAAATGCTTTCTTGTTTGGAACATCACTACGTGCGAATCTGATTCATTTGGTTCACTGTTTGACCTCTATATTTGGTTCGTGTGAAAATTTGATTGACTGAATTCACACTTTCTGAAAAACAGACATGCTTAGTTGTGTCTCTAACCGAGAAATATTTTGGCGTAAATCTTTTCTTAGGTGTGCTTTAGCTTAAATTACTACACTCTAAAATACCATGTAAAAGTAGAGACGGGAAGTGTATTTCTGCATTCTGCAGTAAACGAGGCCTTTCCCTAATAGAGGACCAGTTTCGGAGACGTCAGAGTCAGTCAAACTCATCCATTATTGTGTATAATGAAGAGTAACATCATCATCCTTGATAGACACCTTTGGTTGTCTCTACTTTAGATAGTTTTGTGAGTGAGTAGCGTTCCTTGATTTGTATGATGTCCTTTTTCGCCACCATGGACAAACATTGTAATAAACCACCTCATTTGTAGCAATTGCAACTTTCAGGTTATGAAATATATTTTTTAATTTGGTGGATACATTGTTCCAAAAGGCATCTAAATGTGATCGTTGCATCTTCGTCCAGTTTTGAAAGCCCTTTGTTTTCTCTACCTTTTTTCCTTACAAACTTCTATATATCATTAGTTAAGCTGGTTCATTATGGCTTTTTACGAGATTTGTTTCTTTTCCTCCAAACGACGATTAATGATAGGTATCAGTCTAATTGGATATTGCTGCCTTCGTTATTCGTGGTCGAGTTATCAAATTTTACTTCCCTTTATTCTAGACATTGCTTCGTCACATGTATGTATATACATGCAGTGCGTCTTTAGGCTAACTAAACTACTCCTCAACATGTTCCATCAAATATCCAATCGTCTCCTGAGGACTTTTTAAACTTCTCTCCTTCTCGGAGATAGTTTTAATCACCTCACTGGTATCTTCCCTGTTTCTTTTGCTTTTGTCACTATCGTTCGTTGTCTTTAGATAGACTTTTAGTCATCCTCTGCTTGAAGAGATTTTACTTCTCATCATGTTCTCAATCAGGGTCCTTACTTAATTCAGTTCTTTTAAAGCTACAGCAATCCACTGCTTTTAACCAATCTTGGGTCACAGGTTTTTCAACTGCCCTAACCATTGTTTCTATAGACTATTGGATATAAATTCTTCGTCTCTCAAGGTGACTGTTTCTATCATATGCGGATTAATGTTAAACTAAGTTCTTCTGGGAAATATACATAATGTTCTTACCAAAAAAAACTGAAAATCGTTGCTCATGTATGTTTTCTATCTTTTTGATCTGTCACACCAGTTCATAGTCAGAAACCTGTTTATAACTTGTAACAAGGTAGTCTGTTTGTATCTATCGTTCGTTTAATACTGCAGGACATCACATAACACAATATTGTTCCCTATTTTTGAAATTAGTGCTAGCTAGGAGCAGGTGGTTATGTGAATGAATTCATAAGAGATGATCTCCGTTGTATGTATAGAACTGCACAGACATATCTTATGTTATTTTTCATCTGGTATAACTGTCTGTCTGTCTGTCTGTTTTCGACATAGAACTTTGCACAAATGTGCGGAAGTTCAAGTCGCCACATTCCGTGTAGCACGCGAAGCAAGAGAAGAAAGTACAAGAAAAGCATAATAGAAACAGTGAGCAGAGGTGTGAGACAAAGGAGTAATAAAGAAATACAAAACAGTTTCATTGAAGATCATAAGTCACAGGGAGTGGATGCATCTGCGCCACTGAGAACGGATTTGAGCCATGTCACCAATTGTTTCCAACCATAGATTTTTACCGTCCCGAGGACCCCAGCCTGGAAGTATACACCTTTCTACGTGGCTTAGACCAACTGTTGTGGATTTCATTGACTGATGCCAAGTTTTTGTTTGACCGCCGCTAGCTTTTTTCCAGCCTGACCCTATATCCGCTAACATTGCTCGTCGAGGGAGGCGATGGCTTGGCATACGTAACACATGTCCTAACCATCTCAGTCTTTGTAGCTTCACGACTTCGTCGATTGATTTCCCCTGTTTACCTAGAACTCAACGCCTAACCTCCATGTTGCTCACCTTATTATGCCACTTTACACGGGAAATAGAGCGCAGGCACCTATGATCGAAGACAGCTAGTCTTTTCATGTCTTCCACTCTCAGTGGCTAGGTCTCACAACCATAAAGGAGGACGGAGCGGACTGATGAGCAGTACACCCGCCCTTTGGTCGATAGTCGAACATCTCGTCTACGCCAGAGTCGGCGTAAACTGGCAAATGCGAAACGAGCCCCCTGTATTCGTGCTGAGATTTCGTCAGAGATCAGCCCGTTGGGGCTGATGGTACTTCTGAAATAAGTGAAGCAGTCAACGTGATCTACCACTTCACTTCCTATTTTTAAACTAGGCGTCGATGTAGTCCAGTCCTGTAACATCATCTTGCATTTGGCGGGAGCGAATCTCATGCCAAACATTCTGGTATAACTAACATAATTAAGTAGTTTAATCTCTTGCTAATGTTATATCTAGGCTTGTGGTAAAACTAATCCTTTACTTTTGCCAAACTGCAGTCGATATATGAACTAGTGGAGATGACGAAAAAGTGTCAAAGAATGTTAGGATCTTACCTTATTATTACTGATCCATTCTATCTAACACGATACAAACGACTGTCCACTGAGATCCATTCGAACGATGATTTTCCTGCTGTTTAGCTTAATCCTGTCCTTACACTCACAAGTTCACGAGAAGTATTCAGAAAGCCTAATACATGCAGACTGAATTTATCAGGTTCACTACACTGACCAGCTGATATTAAGTGAATAACTACACTTGGATCTTGCCTGTTTTCCTCAGAAATACAGCCAACATTCAAAACGTAAAATGTAGAATGTTACTGATTGAGGTTGTTTCCAACTTAGCATAAAATACGGAGGTTAAAAGCTCCAGTGTTAGTCACGGTTTTAAAAGACTAGTAATGCTTACAAAGCTGTAACGACGGGTGGTCTCCATGAAACTGTGTACTTATGAAGACGTTTGGATGATTGGCACTGTCTCAGCTGCTCACACCTTTAAAGTCCTTCTTCCATGAGTACTTAGAAAAGAAAAGTGGCTAGTTTTACGTGGCTACAAAAACCAGGAGACAGCTGTATCTAGTAACATCACCTTCTTGGAGGTGAAGTTCTGTCTGTAAGGAACCCTGTGCAGAAACTACCGAGAGAGTTTCGCTTTGCCATTCAAGACAGTCTACTTGAACCCATGCAGATGTTTAAGATCTTATAGAACGTTTTAATTTGTAGTAAAAACAGGTATTAGTGTCTAGTAGAGATGTGTGTCAGTGGCTTAATGGTAGGACACTAGTCAGCCACGCAAGTAGTCTGGAGTTTGGTCACCGGCTGGTAATGAGCCCGGTAAAGAGGGAAGGTTAAGCGTTAGGCTTTCAGCCCCATCCCTTAAAAAACACCACTTCTACTGAGCTCTAGGTTGGAGCTATATGTTCTACATGGAACGAGAATGAATAAATAATAGATTTAAACCTAGCTGAATTCGATGTTTCAAGGATTAACTTGTTACCACTGTGGTGTTACTGATACAGTACTCTAAAGCAGTTCGCCCCGTAAATCCTTACGTCTGCGAGACATGGCCGTTGAATGTGGGAGATAATAAGTGACTAGCAGTCTATGAACATAGGTTTTTTTCGTTTCATCTCTATTAGGTGGTCATTAATATTAGGGTTAAGCCTAGAAGGCAGGGGAAGACGATAAATTTGTGAAGTGGTATTCATTGTGATGGCTAGGATATATGTTACATATATCATGTTTTCGCCTTTTTTGTCAAGGGATGTTAGCTGACACAGATTGGAAAACATTTTGAAGTGGTCAGACCAAAATATGGCATGAATCAATCAAGTCTTTGACTGCTGATTTGAACCACGTAGACTACCTTACTGAACTCTTCGAGACGCTAAGAACAAATGACAGCAGACTGCTAATAACACAGCCAAAAGTCATTCTTAACGACACAGATGTATTCACTCTTTGTGATCTCCAAGATCGTTACAACGAAAAAAATTTTCTTTTCGACGAAGTCATCATCTAGGCTGTACATTCGTGTATTTATATCAAATGGATGGGAAAGTTCCAGAATAATATCCGGTCAAGGGTCAAATTAATAAAAATTAAAATTGGGAATTAGAATGCCATAATAAACAGGGGGGTGGATAAAACAAACAAAGTAGCATTATAATAACTAAGAAGACTGACATTGTGCAATTAGGGGTTAGAAATGTAGAAATAACAAAATAGACAGGATGTTTGGATAAAAACTAATGTGATGAATAATTGTTTATGCAATCAGGGATTAAATATGTAGAAATAGTAAAATGACAAAATAAACACTAAGTTCGGGTATGAAAATATGGTAGTGTAAACAGGGATTAAGAAAAACTTGAAATAACATGAATAAACAGGAAGTTTAGATAAGAAAGGAGATGGGATGGTGATTACTAAAAATTACCTGTTTATGATGGCCATGGCAAGGACAGGGGTTGGACGTATTTCTTTTGTATACAAAGCGTGGGTTTGAGCTTTTGTATAGCTAGCGCCTCGGCTATGCCCAAATGTCTTGATTTTACTCCCTTTGATAGGTTTGATCGAATCTTGTAAATGATTTTGAAGGATTTTTCGAGTGGCGCTGAATGTCCTGAATTCACCAGATGTTCTGTCACCGAACTATTTACCCGTTTTCGTTCTCCTTTTACTAGCCAGGCTGGATAGTGTTCACGAGGGCGTTTTTCAAGTCGGCGCATGGTACGGCCAACGTACTCAGCTCCACAAGAGCAAGTAATCTTCGAAAAACCCTGATGGAAAACGGTTTCCCGCCCAGGTTCATAGAAAAGAATCTCAAACCTAAGAAGACTTCTGAACAAGTCCAATCCGTTCCAAAGAAAATGCTTCTGCTTAATCTAGAATTCAAAGGTGATATTGAAGCAGAAATCCCTCGCAGACGCCTCTCAAAATCGCTGAGGAAAACATACTTCGCCGCTAGCCTACGACTGACGTTTTCCTGCAAGAAACTGTTCCGCCAGAACGCAAAAGACAAGCTGTCGCATTGGGCCACCTCAACGTGCATATACCAGTTTACTTGCTCTTGTGGAACTGAGTACGTTGGCCGTACCATGCGCCGACTTGAAAAACGCCCTCGTGAACACTATCCAGCCTGGCTAGTAAAAGGAGAACGAAAACGGGTAAATAGTTCGGTGACAGAACATCTGGTGAATTCAGGACATTCAGCGCCACTCGAAAAATCCTTCAAAATCATTTACAAGATTCGATCAAACCTATCAAAGGGAGTAAAATCAAGACATTTGGGCATAGCCGAGGCGCTAGCTATACAAAAGCTCAAACCCACGCTTTGTATACAAAAGAAATACGTCCAACCCCTGTCCTTGCCATGGCCATCATAAACAGGTAATTTTTAGTAATCACCATCCCATCTCCTTTCTTATCTAAACTTCCTGTTTATTCATGTTATTTCAAGTTTTTCTTAATCCCTGTTTACACTACCATATTTTCATACCCGAACTTAGTGTTTATTTTGTCATTTTACTATTTCTACATATTTAATCCCTGATTGCATAAACAATTATTCATCACATTAGTTTTTATCCAAACATCCTGTCTATTTTGTTATTTCTACATTTCTAACCCCTAATTGCACAATGTCAGTCTTCTTAGTTATTATAATGCTACTTTGTTTGTTTTATCCACCCCCCTGTTTATTATGGCATTCTAATTCCCAATTTTAATTTTTATTAATTTGACCCTTGACCGGATATTATTCTGGAACTTTCCCATCCATTTGATATAAATACACGAATGTACAGCCTAGATGATGACTTCGTCGAAAAGAAAATTTTTTTCGCTGCAACTGTCTTCTTATTTACTCCTATGACCCAATGTGTATATTCAGTGATCTCCAAGATCCATCAAATTCTCAGTTTTCTGGATATAATTATTCTTTTTTCCTCTACCTTTATGGATGCTTTATGTAGTGTAACAACTTGAACTCTTGAATTTTCTTTTCAAGCTCTACGTTGTCAAGTCACTCATGTAAATTTACGCGGATGTCGCTATAAAAATACATGTTCATCACGGTTTATTGTTCTCTGTTTTGCCTGTGAAACTTTCATTCTATGTTAAGTTGTGATTAGTGGATTAACAATAAACAGAATAGAAGTCGCATTGGATTCATAAATAGAAGGGCGTGAAAGTCGATGAAGTTCAAAATCTTAACCAATTGCTTTTAGAACTCAGTTACCTACACTAAATTTTTCATGTATTATGCCATGCGCATTATGATGATGCCATCCACTTCCCCAGGTTGAATTATGTAGAGTGGGAATTGAAACAGAAACCCATTAAGTAAAAGCCGAGTGCTTATGCCATTTCTCAGTTTACTACCTTTATTACCTATGTTGATCAAAAGCTAAGATTGTTCAAAGCCAGACATATTCAGCAATCACCTGCCAGTCAAATTAAAGAGGTGTAGGTTGTTTGTCTGGAATCTTCGAGATTTTCGAAATAAGTGACTGACAACTTTTCTTTACATACTCAAAATTGATTGAAAAATTAGTGTACTAACTGTGTCATCAGAATTTTTAACGTCATTGTCAAGGGCTTTCCAGTTGTTCCCTTTCTGCTTATACCCAGTTTTATTCTCTTCAACCACATTCCATTTGTCCACTTCCTCTTTATTTGCTGTTTAGATCTCCTTACAATGTTGTTAACTAATATTTGTGTTTTTCTGACTGGTTGCAAAACATGCAAGAACTTAAGATGATGTCAACTACACTCGGAGCTGACATCTGTCTAAACACGAGAGAACCAGGCAGGCACACTCTAGATGAGGAAGAGGGTGTATTGATCATATCTTCACCCTTCGACAGATTCTGGAACATAGGCGTACTTACTGGCGTCCAACAATTGTCATATTCCTAGACCTAAAGACGACATTCGATTCCGTCGGCGGATAGGTTCTATGGCGATTTTTGGCTGTGAAGCCAATGCCGAGAAAATACATTGCACTGATCAAGGCACTCTATTCGAACTCATGCAGACAGGTATGAGCTTACGGTGAGTTGTCGTCCGAAGTGGTGACAACTAATGGTGTTCGACAGGGATGCCCACTATCCCCATTTCTATTCAGTTTCATCATAGATGTAATGATGGACTTAACCCTAACTCACTTCAGAGACTCAGGGATTGACTTACTACCAGGGAATAATCTTGTTGACTTAGAATATGCAGACGATATAGTCCTTCTAGGCGAGGACGCTGACAAAATACGGCAGAGTCTTCTGAACACGTTGAGCTGCAATCTACGAATGTTTGGCATGCGATTCGCTCCCGCCAATTGCAAGATGATGTTACAAGACTAGACTACACTGACTCCTAGATTAGAAACAAGAAGTGAAGTGGTAGATCACGTTGACCGCTTCACTTATTTGGGAAGTTGCATCAGCCAACGCCAGCTGGTTGATCGCTGACGGAATTTCAGCACGGATACAAGAGCCTCTTTTGGCATATGCCAGTTAACGCCATCTCTGGCGTAGACGTAATATCGATCCGCTTGTCTATCAAAGAACGTGTACTGCTCATCAGTCCGCTCCGTCCTCCTTTATGGCTGTGAGACCTGGCCATTGAAAGTGGAAGACATGGAAAAATTAACTATCTTTACACTAACGTACCTGCGTTCTATCTCCCATGTTAGGTGGTGTAATAGGGTGAGCAGTACTGAGGTTAGGATTCGGTCGAGTGCTAGGTAAGGAGAGAAAATCAATCGACAAGGTTGTGAAGTTACATCGATTGAGATGTTTAGGACATGTGTTTACTCACACCTATCCATTGCCTTCTTCGACGGATAATGTTAGCTGATATAGGATCAGGTTGGAAAAGAGTTGGTTAGTGGTGGTCAAACCAAAAACATGGCTTCATTAGTCAATGAAATCCACAAACAGTTAGTTTAAGCCAGCCACATAAGGAGGTTTAGACTTCTGTCTAGTTAGGGTCCTCGGGATGGTATAAACTAATGTTTGGAGAGAATTGGTGATATAGCTCACAATCGTTCTCCATGGCCGGTGCAGATGCATCCACTCCTTGTAATTTATAATATCCAATAAGACCACATTGTTCTTCCATATTACTATTCTTTATGTCTCAAATCTATGTTTATTATCTCTGTTTTGAATATCTTTCTCCTCTCCTCTCTTGCTTTGTATGCTACGTGAAGTGTGGCAACTTGAACTGCTGCACATCTGTGAAACGTTCTACGTTGAAACCAGTCACTCAGTCACACTCGTAGCTTATGTGTGGCTAAACTACCGCTATAATTATGTGTCAAGTGAATAGACATCACATATCTCTTGTGTTGGTCTGACCTTCGTCGTTTATGGCACTTATTATAAGTGTAGTCATCTATCTTAAATCTCTTAAACCATCAATAATATTACTTGACTGTTAGTACAAATTGAATTTGTCTTTTCATCCTATTAATTAAGGAGTACATATTTACAAACGATTTTAGTTTTTTTTTTAATGGCTACTTCGTGGTTATCGTATTATTCGACCGAAATCAAATAAAGTTATACTATCACTTCAAATTTTGTTTAGTCTATTCTTAGTTTACTTTTAAGACTTAGTACAAGTTAAGCAACAACTCGGTTTTTACAAATTGTATAAGGCTGCATCATTAATTACTGCTTAAATAAAAGACCATGACCAGAGAATAGGAACAAAAAGCCCTATCTTACTTTGTGTACCACTGCAAGTGCCTCAGGTGATAAGTCATCGATTCAATGGATTAATGTCATGTTTTGTTGGCGCAATAAAGTTAAAGAGAGACAACGAGCATTCACAACTTCTGAAACCTAGTGAAGTGTGCAGAAAGGCAAACTTGAATAGAGTGTGTAAAATCAGACTACCAGTTCATATCCTCACTTATTTCACCGACGGTAAGGTCTCGTGAAGCATTCTTTCCTCACTAATTTTATTCAATAATGCATATTTTCTACCAGTTGTTGTCTGACTTCTTGGCTGACAGCAGAACCTTCTTGCATCAGATTACCTCAAAAGTCAACTTCTCACTTTGTTAAAGGGTTCAAAACCGTTTTTTTTCTCCCTGCCAGTTGTCACAACACATTCACTGTTCATTAGTTCTGTGATAAAGGTTATCAGTATTTATCATATATTACTTGAATATCTATTGCAAATGAACAGTACATTTTCTTTTTCATTTTTTTTTCTTGTAAAATAGATATTTCAAGCCAGAAAAGAAAACATTGAAGCAGTTACTAAACCGTTAACATGCTCATGTTTTACAACATCTATATGGGATGAGACATTATTCAAAGCATGGTCTAAAATTGTTTATGAACTTATTCCAAATATCAAAACTCTAGAAGGAAGTTTAAAACAGCTTTGTGAGGTACTGGAAGCTGATGAAGTGATTTTATTTGAAAGAGCAACATTCCTTGAAATCGCTTGTCATTCTAGAGTCCCACATTCTGATGTGCATAGGTAAATGAATTATGGTTTTCTTTTAATTAGTGATTACTTAAGGTTCGAAAAAATAAGCAACATTGTAAAACAATTTAAGTTGTCGTGTAGTAAAGTTGGTGCAAATTTCACCAAGATTGAATTGCATAATCAGTACTTTGCTGCGTTTATTGATGTTTTCACTTCGAATACATACATTATGGTTGTGTGTTCAGATCCATCTATTGGTAAGTTTACATGCATATTTAGCGATTTCACCATCGTATCACTGTTTTATTTATAACTTTTAACTTGTAATAATTATTACTCTCAGTATAGCATCTTCCTACAGGGCCAAGGCCATGGCCTTTACAATTCAAGATACTTAGGATTTGATATGTGACATGACTAGAGTGCTTATACTCTAACTTGTACCCAAATAAAGAAGTTCTGTTATAACTTGAGATAGTACTGTTCTTACTCGTTTATGATATAACTGTCATTCTTATGAATGCTTCAACTGTAACGGGATAATTTTACAAATAAGCTAAAACAGATAGACATCTTACATCATTACTCGTATCCATACAGTTATGAAACGAATTAACAACTATTAATTCGCCTTAAGTATTATGTTACAGAACTAGTACTCTATAAATACTGACACCATAGAAGTCACAAATATCTTAGCAGAGTTTGATTCATGAATACGTGTTCAGCACACAACAACCACTCAGGAGCATTTCCCGTAACATTCACTTGACAAACGTGATTATGCATATGTGTCATTATTCTTTCATCGGTGTTCACGAATTGCATTACACCTATGCTCCTGATTTTTAAACGTATACTGAAGGCATCTGGATTTAACTAGCTCTAATATTTTGCGTTAGGTGCTTTCATTTTTTTCAGTGATGTGCTAAATATGTTTTAAATTGTGTTATAGTATTCGAAGCGCCAGGCAAGCAAGTAGTAACTAGTTACTGAGGTCTTAAGAGTTATCGACTGATTTAGCTGCTGTTATAAAACTCAATTACCAGGAACAGACTTTTCGTGTACAACAGGCTCTAGAGCCGCACTTATTGTGTGAGAGCTGAAAATACTACCCAGGTTTTATTAAGTGAGGCAGAATTCGAACTTGAGACCCTCTAACCAAAACTCAATCCAACGAACCAGAATTCTTCAAATTGAAGTATGCGCTGAAGATGTCACCCAGTAAGGTGATGAAAGCTTCGCAAACTAACTATCCAGCTCAGAGAACAAAACCACATCAAAAAAAAGAACCAGAATTCATCTAGCAGTTGGGTAGAATCATACACTATCTAAAATTAAAGCGAGCTTGCATACCACTAAATGATAAACTGTACCAACCAGTAGACAGCTCAAATGATATATATTTACCTAAATTGTTGGAAGTGAAATATGACTGATGTGTCTACAAATCGGGTCTTGCAATATGAATAATTGCGGTATAGGCCTTATTCTACGCCAAATGGATGATCAGTATCGCCGTTCATCCTCACTGGACTAATTTTCAACAGACTACTGTCTCTTAAGATGTGTCATGTATTTATTCTTGTTTCGTGTTACACAATGACGTTTTTATGCTTTGATGAATAAACTTAGACATTTCCTATGTAACACATTTTTTTAGCCTCATCTGCAACTTTACTCAATATTCGCAATGCACGTAAGCACTTCGAACGTCTAGAGAAAATAGAACAACCACATTCTGCAATAGCTGGGCGTAATTGAGACCTCGTATGCACCCGGTAATCATCTCATCTATCGATGCATTGTGATTACAATTTTCCAACTGAAGATTTCGATGTCAATGTGCATTATACCAGTGAATTTCGATTTTTATTCAAATAATAGAGAGAAAAAACATAAAATTCTGTATAGATCTGTGTGTTGGATTCTCCCATTTGCATCGGTCATCTTTTTACAACAAGACAATATGATTATTTATTAGGCAGAGCAAAAATAAATTCGAATCTGTTCTGTTTTACAAATTTGAATAAAAACAGCTAAAGTGGCTTACACATGTATAATTAACATGCTGAAAATGAATTCTTTGTGACACTAACTGAACTTCCAATTCAATAAAACAATTAAATATGTGATTAACGCTTTTCTTCAGTTTATTTGTACACTTCAGTGATGACTGCATCTTAGAGAATCATTATTGATATGTTTTGATAAAATGTAAATAATTTCATACTTTTGCTTCGCCTAACCTATTTTTCTCTTTCACATTGTCTTTTCTTCTTCATCAACTTGATCAGATGGTATACATTAAAACGAAGTTTAATTTTTTTTTTAACTGTTGTCTTTCTGCAAGTTCATGACAAGAACTTCAATTAATCAAAGTACTTAGGATTTGATATTTGACATGGCTAAGGTGCTTAGATTCTAAATTACACCTAAATAAAGAGATTCTGTTATAAATTGAGATCGTTGTTATATTCTTATTCATTTGGTGGATACCTTGGAGACGACGATGCAAAATGATCGTTACGAGTTACTCTGAACTGATCTTTTGATGACAGATTACATTGATGAGTTGAACGTGATGTTGTAAATGTAGACAATAAGCAGCCAACCTTTAAAGTATCAATCTGGGATGACTATTCTTCACTACACAGTGCTTGGTTGTAGGTTGTGACTGTATTTCTGTTACTATCGTATGAAAACCCAAACTTAGTCACTGGTGGAACGGGAATTATTTTATGCGTACAACATGTGTAGTTTGCTGAAGCCGATAATTTCAAATAACAGCAATTATTTAACGACAATTACCATCACACAATATTGCACTTGTGTGGTGATTTAATGGAAACAAAGCGTGTACCGAAAATATCCTAGATTTCTCTATGTTCCTAAATCTGTTTAGGTTTTCCGCTGTATAAATTTAGACCTATAAATGCCATACTGCGGGCTTTAATTAGCTGGATCTACTTACTTCATCTACAAGCACCCGGTAAGGAGAAATTTTGCATGGGGGAGGGAGGCGACAAGCCTGAGAAAACTTGCGCCTATCGTTATCAAGACTGATTACATTTCTTATAGCAGGCTAGGATTGTGTTGCATTGGCCTAAACCCAGTGGCATTACTGACGATACAAGCGAAAAATCCGAATACTAATTTAGTGTACAATGCTGGCGCAGTAAATAAAATAGTTCCCAGTCGTTCTACTTCGGCAGCCGCTGTAGAATAGTAATATGCAAACTTCTTTTACTAGTCACACGAACATATTAAGCTGAGGCTTCTCCGATATTGGATAGTCATTTCACCTCATATTAAATCTCTATATTTGGACTATAGAATTTGGTGTTTATAACAAGTTTGGCAACGTGGAAAAAATGTATCCATCCCTCGAAAATTTTCAAGTAATTTGACGGTATCGGCTGCAGCAAAAATAACGATGACCGTATTATTTAAAATCCTAAAAAGTATAATAGCGCAGAAAGTGACGTATTATTTAAAATGATAAAAAGCTGCGACCGGTTGGTTACGGAGCTCCTAAATTTATCTACTAGATGATTTATTTGTCATAGGTAACAGCTGGTTAATGTACACAACTCCGATCAGAACTAAATCGTATAGTGTGATGACTGATAAAGATAAGTGAAATTACTGACGCCAGCCTCTATTATGTCAGTGAAACACATACTTTAAATTCGGTATCACTTGATTTAGTTAGCGCCTCAACAATTTTAAGTACACATGCAGCAGGAATATTGTTGCACATGTCACTATCTCTGGTCCGGTCACTGTAAATGATCCAGTCACTCGACCTCCGCTTTAATAGGGGTAAGAAATAATTATTAGCTGATTCATGCCTCTAATGTTTGCTCACATCGTTTAGTGAATCACGAAATAAGTCATTTTTACCCCCAAAAGATATAGTCACATATCTTAGTTAATGAACTGTCATCGTATGAAGGAGTAAAACTCGGGTTATAGAATGACACTACTACGACTAGTGGACATTCAGACAACATAAAATCTCTCCAGTACCGACTGTCTTAAAATGAACAACGCAAATTCAAAGTGTGAACCTCGAAAAGATATATATATATATAGTGCTTGGTTTTATCCTTCTAACACAAATATCCATGTTTCGAAAGTACCTGCACTTAACAAAACATTTACGTAAAATCTACAAAAAACGATAAGCGTCTAATCAGTACGAATCGATTAACTTTATAAACAAAACAAAAGTACCCCGATCAGTTCAATAAAACTTACCGCATCTGCTATTAACCACTTTGTTATATTAAGATGGTAGTGATATCTTTACCATAAACCAAGCTTCCTCAATGTTTTTTAAAATTGAAGATCAATACACAACGATGATCATTTTAGGTGAACAGTGTGGGCTAAGCAAAATTCGAAGGTCTTAGGCATAAGCATATTTCAGATTTTATAAACCACAAATACTGACCCGTTAACATTTCTCCCTTATTATTAACAACTCTAGGAGTGAAACGTATAAAGTTTATCCACCCATACTATGTTTAAGCGAAGCCTGATCACGAATTACACCATAAATATTGCTGACTTCAAATGTGTTACTCATTTTATCATAATTGGAATTTTCAACCGCTAATGATTCAACACTCCATTGGATAGTACATTGAAAGAAAGAGAACCTCTTCTGTAATACAAAATATATAACTTTTTTCAGTAAAATAGAAAAAAAACAGCGATACAACAATGCTTTGATGGGTATTTTTTCCAGAGATGATTTAGTTCGTTCCGTTGGAAAATAGATTAGTGAGACCAAAATCATTCTCTACTTGTATTGTCCTCTTGTACTCACGCGATTTATTCCATTTAGGACGATTCAACCTTGGTAAGTTATGTATTTGAACCTCACTGCGAAAACGTTGACTAAGGGGAACCTGAATATCAAAAGTAAAACAATGCAGTGAAAATTTACACGGAATAAATAAACTTATTAAAGTATGCGTTATTTTTTATTCGTATTTTTTAACACTATACATAGCACTCGTTTACCACGTACACAGCCATAAACTTCACAATAGATCAGGTTTATTCGAAAAGTCTTAATAATAATAATAATAACTGGCTGCCAGAATTCCAATAAGTGAGGCTAAAATAATTCACTGTATTGAACGAAGTCGAACGCTTAGCCTCTACATTTAAATGAAGAAGACGACATATTACATAACTCTTATTTGTCTTAAGGATTAATGGAAACCGTAGAATTCCATGAATACTGGGAATTTTATCGTATTTTAAATAACTTTATAGAGTAGTCAGTCAGTCCACAGTGATTGAAACGGTCACTCCAGGTGTTTACTAATGTTGGAGAAAGCACATTCCCCTTAATTCACTTTAATCGATCTTTCACTGCACTACACTACACGCATTTGGATGCAAACTTCATTATAAACAGATTTAGACTAAGCAATTATGTACTATCGACAAATCGATATGAATAGTTAGAATCATTCACTTTCAACCGTAGTGTTTGCTAGTCAGAGTGACCTAAACAACGGATGGGCATTTCGTTTGTTTACAATCTGGCTCATTAATGGTGTACTCGGTCTGAATTGGCTCACACAATCGAATCAGTTCAAACCACATAAAATCCTCGCTTGCCATTTGAGCTAAGTAGTAGTATTGCAACAACAAAATGTAACACACGCCAGCCAAGGTATATTTTTCATTAATCAAACCGCTGTTTATGTATCTACAGTCTATATTCTTTAACCAATCACTGAGCCTGTGATTTCGGTTTACATCAAACAACATGAAACAGAATGTTCACACATACATAGTATTCTTTTGTTAATGCAGTATATAATCATGGGAAATGTATTCTGTCTTTAACATCAAATCAAGTGTTCAAATAGATATATTGTATGCAGTATTGAACTGTTAGGATATGTGAGCATAATATTCCGTTGGCAGATATTACCTGTATCACACCACCACAGTATTAGTACAATCTATTAACTGCTTGCTTTTTATTAGACGTCTTATGATAACTTTGTATAAGTAGTTTTTATGTATTACTCTTATTTATGATGATATTGTAACGACAGAAGACAATGGCCACGCAACAGATCGTCTATTGAGGATATCAAGAGATATTTATATATTTTTATGTACATTATTATTAGCAGAGAAACAGTGTCTTCTGATTGGTTGTTTTCTCGCTGAAAGTTATTCTGTCATCTCTTTGTGGCTGTTTCTTTGAAGGTCAGACCATATATTTGCGGTTCGTATCCGCCCACGCAAATTCTGCTGCTATTGGCTATTGAGAGTTAGTCTTTGTCCTTGTTTTTTCTCATGACCAAGATTTGGGACGTAAACATTGACGTAAATTGCTGTCTATCAATTTTGGCTAGCATACAGCTCTCACCACAAAATGATTGTCTTATAATTTTAAAGAGCAGACGACATTTTCTCTAGAACCTGACTTATACAGCAATGAAAACAGTCTGCATAATAAACCAGATGATACCTATGTAGTAACAACCTCGTCATAAGTAACTTGGTGCTATGTCAGTCAAACGAATGGTAGGACGAAATTTATATATATTCCAATTCGAACAACTCATTAATGGAAATAGGCATATCTACTGAAAAGGGATTTTTATATTCTGAAAATACAACTCACTCCAATAATAGGATCAACAAGTTTTTTAAAGGCATCACGTCTTGCTCGAACAGTTAATGGTTTATCATAATTTTCAAACATTTTCTTCTCAAATGCC